GTACCAGTTCATTCAACTCACGAACGACATGTACCAGTTCGGTCATTTCGTTCACGAACGAGAAGATCTCTCTCATTCAGACTCGAAAGAAACTCGGTCAGTGAAGGGCTTCTTCTTCTTCTTCTTGTTTTATGGCGAATAACTCCTTAGGAGCATTATCGCCACTGCAGTGAAGGGCGTATTCGTTCACTACATTCAACAAATCACATGCTCCGTCACATCTCATACTCGAAGGCTATTGGCTCGAGGTTTAATCATTCTTTGACAGGATGAAACAGTTCACAGAGCTACCCGGTTCACTGATCTGCGCATGCGCTGCTAATGGCGCCGCGCTGCTATGAGTCAATGGATTACGTGAATGAGAACGATTCATTCACCTAAAAGATTTGTTCAAAAATAACGATTCGTTCACGAACGTAACATCACTAGCACTAATATTTGGGGTAATGGGTAATCAGAGACGTTCAGATGAGTCATCGCTGAAACGCGGTGTGTTGTTCTCTTCCTCGCTGACTGCAGATGAGTATGAATGTAAGTAAGATATTCATTTCACAGTGTAAACAGCTTCAGTGATTTAAATGGGAGTTTTTGAGAGTGCCTGAACTCTGGCTAGACTAAAGTGAAAATGTTTTGTGATAATTTAAATGTTCTTTGCTCTCTGTAAAATGAAAATGTTATAGCCTAATATAGTAACTTACAATATTGTTATTAAATTCACATTAAATACAAAGTCAGTCGTACATACATACATACATACACTACCAGTCAAAATTTTTTTCAGCATTTATCTGAAATAAAAAGCTTTTGTAACATTAGTTATGCTAAAAATTCAGCTTTGAAATCGCAGAATAAATTATATTTTACAATATATACAAATAGAAAACAGTTATTTGAAATAGTAAAAATATTTCACAATATTACTGCTTTTGCTGTATTTTGAAACAAATAAATGCAGGCTTGGTGAGCAGAAGAGAATTCTTTAAAAAACATTAAAACTCTTACTGTTCAAAAACTTTTGACTAGTAGCCTATATACAGGTGCATCTCAATAAATTAGAATGTTGTGGAAAAGTTAATTTATTTCAGTAATTCAACTCAAATTGT